ACGTGGCAGGGGTGGGTGAGCTTCTGGCACAGCCCGTCGCTCTGACCTGCAGGGAGCAGCCAGGACCATCAGCTGGCCCGTCTCACCGGCCTCACCGTGCTTCAAGGGGGAGTCCGTGGACATTCAGGGACACCAACACCACAGCTATGACAGCCAGCAAGCCACAGCACCAGGAGGAGGGCTGGGAATCCCTGCATGTCACAGCCAGAGCCACAGCAGAAGCCCAGCGGTGTCAGGCAGGAGCCCCTCAGCATCTGCACACCCCTGTCTGCCTGGTGACTGCCTGGCTCAGGGACAAAACCCCATCTGTGATGGTGGGGCTGGGAGTGCCAGGGCTCACCCTGGTAGTGCTGGACCAGCTCCTGCAGCGTGTTGAAGTTGTTGCGTGGGGAGATGTAGAAGCCCCCGCTGTCCAGGGTCCGGATCTTGTAATGCTTCACTGCACCGCTCTGCATCACGTCCCCGTCCCGCACCGACAGCGAGTAGGAGCCTGGATGGGGAGGGGTGAGCTGGCAGCCCCCACAGGGACATATCCCAGCTGTGCCCAGACATCCCATGCTCCTGGCACTCACGGAGCCAGCAGCACCCATCCCACCGTGCTGCCACCACCCCTTCAGCCCCAGGCCAGCTACAGATGTGCCCTGAACACCCAAAGCATCCTCAGCACCCAAAGCAGCCTCAAAGAGGCACATCCCCCTGTCCCTGCCACGGGGCTCAGACATGTGGCAGCACCGTGGGCTCTTGCAAGGACATGGGCCCCCCAGTCCCTGCCTGCAGCACAGCAGAGCCCCCCGGGCTGGGGAGGGATCTCCCGAGCTCCTCTGCCCGGCAAATGTGGGTGAGGGAGGCTCCTTGGGCAGGTGTTCCCCACCACTGAGCTGCAGACACCCCTCTGCACCTTTGGTTGTCTCGCTGTCCCGTATCATGAAGGACCCGATCGTGTTCCCGGGGCCAAGGAGCTGCCGCTCCGCGTCCTTCCGGCTGATGCCTTTGAAAAACCACCTGCAGCAGAACCAAAGGAACCAAGGGACGCTGCTGGTGTGGGGCAGGGCTGGGGGCAGGACAGGGGTCAGAATAGAGACAGTTGAGGTGAGGGAGCGTAGCACCCTGTGGGACCAGGATCTGCCACAGAGGGATGGACTCACTCCTCTGTCTCCAGGGAATCAGCTCGGGCAACGTAATTGCTGGGGATGAAGCCTTCGTGTCCCGTCACCAGAGACCGTGCTTGCCACCAGGCCCCTGACCTGTGACAGAAACATCGTTGGGTTGGCTCATGGCACCTGGCACTGGGCACCAGCAGCTCCTCCAGGGGCCAAGTTCCAGAAAAAAACCCTGACAGGGCCATGTAAACCTTCAGGAAACCCTAGGTGGGGGAATGCCAGCAACACTTACTCCTCCAGCACCTTCAGCCGCTCTCCTTTCTGGAAGCTGAGGTCCCCAGCGTTCATCGCCTCGTAGTCGTAGAGTGCCAGCACCACATTGTCCCCCAAGCCTGCAGCAAGGGAGGCTCCCTGGGCACCCCTCCCCATGCTGGGATGGGTGCCTGGCCACTCCTGCATGAACACTGGCCAGGACATTGGCATGGACATTGGCCAGGACCCCCGCAGCACCCAATCTTCATCGTGTCACGTATGGCCTTTGAGGGGGCCCAGAGCTCCCATCCCCCCAGGATCAGCAGTGTTCCCTCCAGGCTGGAGAGGACCTGGTCATGCTGCCCCCACATGCTCCCACCTCCTGCATCCCCTTGCAGCCCCCTTGTACCTACCATCCTCAGGCAGGGGCACAGCCACACTGGGGACATGATTGTTCTGGAAAGTGGGACAAAACCAGAGAGTGACATTGCAGGTGGCAGAGATCTGTTTCCCATGGGGGTCTTGGCCCCCAACAGCAGTGGCAGGGACAGGAGGACACCCAAAGGGCATCACCAGTGCCACCTGACACAACAACCTACACAGCACCAGTATCTCCATCCCTTCCCAACACCTTAGTTTTTCTCTACCTTTCTCCATAATTCCTGGATTCCCATCAGGTCCACTCTGTGCTTTGTTCCAGTGTGGCCTGGGCTCCCACCCCACAGCCAAGTCCTTGTCCCAGTGCACAGGCACTGCCAGTACCTGCAGCTGGCCCTGCTGTCAGTGCTGGCAGCTCTGTGGAGGAGAGGGCTGAGCCCCCCGTGATGGCTCTGCCCTGAACCCCTGGCTCACTCAACAGCTCCCACTCACCCTCCTGTTGGCGGCCGTGGGGTCCCTCACATAGTGGCCTTGTTGGATGCTGGGACTGGGGTCAGGGTCAGGATCAGTTTTTATCGTCTTCTCTTGGACACCAGCAGCCTTCGACCTCACACAGCCCATGCTGCAGCCGAGGGAGGGGAAGTGAGGCCATTGCGACAGAGGTGAAAGCCCCGCTCCAGCCCCGCTCCAGCCCCGTTCTGTCACAGCAGGCCAATTTTGGGCAGACAACAGCAGCTACCATGGAGCAGCTTCCCGGCCCTTCCCTGATCCAGGACAGGCTGCAGCCACCGGGCACCGTGGCAGCAGAGAGCCACTTGGTGTCTTCTGCAAAAGTGGGGCCCTCATCACGGTGGTCTCCCACACAGCTCAGGGCTCCCCACACAGCACTGCTGGTGCCTGTGGCCCCCCCATCACCACGGGTCTCTGCTCCCCACCACGCTCCCCTGCTCTCTGCTGGGTGGAGCCGCCTCAAAGAGCCAGCCCAGGGTGAAGGCAAATGCTCAACTTGCTCCAGCTCCCCAGGAAATTCAGTGGGAAAAATATGCTGCAAAAAGCAGCAATAGTGGGAAACCCCTCACAAATGAACTTCCCTTGACCGGAGAGACCTGGGTGCAGAGAAAGGAGAAGGTGCTGGTGACGGCAGTGAAGGAGGAAGCTCAGGGCTGAGCCCTCGATGGGCACAGCACAGTTGCACTTCCAAGACTCTCCAGGGACATCACTGTCACCTCAACACCCCATTCCTCATCCTTCCCCGTGTGCCAAAGCCCAGGGCAGAGCAGGAGCAGTGGTGGCAGCCGTGAAGCTCGTCCCCCTCACTGGGCACAGGCTCTGGACTGTGCCAGGTCCATCTTGGCATACCCACACGGCACCTGGGTTAAACTCAGCCGTGCCCCACATGGTGCCATGGCCAGTGCTTGCTCTGTTTGTCCCACACAGGGTCAGGGCATCATGAAACAACCACCTCCGAGGGTTCAAGGGTCCTGCTGGCACCCAGTCTGCACCAGCCGTGTGGCCATGTCAATCCCACTGGCTCCTGTGCCATAGCTGGCATTCCTGGTGTATCCCACCAACGAGAGCCATGTCCCACGGCCTGTGCAATGTCCCCAGTTACTGGACCAGGTTGGATGTGAGTGCCCATGACCCCAGGAGAACGGCTGCCCGCAGCCCCCTGCCCTTGCTGCCCCATGCCCTCGGTCGGGGAGGGCAGCAACAGGTCCTCGACAGACCCCGCAAGGCCACTAAAAGGAACCCCCTCGTCGGGGCTACGCCGTGCCCAGCCGGGCCCCGCTGGATTCCCTGCCATCGCCCCATTCCTATCACCCAGGGGCTGCCGCTCTGAGCGGGACCGTCCCGGCGCAGGGACGGACCCACCGGGCTGCCCGTGCCCGGTCGCGGGGCTCCTCCGCCCTGTCCCGCCGCCCTCGGGGCTCCGCTCCCCGAGCTCTTACCTCTGCCGCCGTCCCGGGGCACGTCCCCGTCCCGCTCCCAGTGCCGGTCCCGCAGCCCGGGCTGCCTCCGCCGCTCCGCTCTGCCCGGCTGTGCTCCCACCTCCCCCCTAAGACCGCGCCCCTCACGGAACGGCCCCGCCCCGACTCCGCCGGTGCTGCCGGACGGGGCAGATGATGCCGATTCCTCCTGTACCGTGGTGGGAGCGGGGACCCCCCCTTTCCCACGCACCGCAAGGACATCCCAGCCTCTCGTGACCCCGCTGTCCTTGGGTCTCCCCGACGGGTGTCAGAGCCCTTCTCTCCACCCACTGCCCCCGGGACGCTGTGAGGGTTTAGGTCCCGGCACTCCAGAGTAGCCCCCGGGATGTTTCCTAGCCTGGTGCGGGGACGTGGGGGGCATGGGTGGAGCACAGACCACGGAGTGAGCCTGGGTCTTCATCCCCAGGAAGAAGAAAAGACACCCCTGAGCATCCCGTGATGGGGAGCAGGAAACGGGAGGTGAGGGGCATAAGGTTTGTGAAGCCCAGCTCGGAGGGGTGGGGTTGTCCCTGGGCTTTGCAATGTCCCAGCTGGCCCCAGTATTCCTGTGCCAAAACTCCTCTTGGTGCCCTGTCCAGCCCCAGAGTGTTCCAGCCTTCACTCTGCATCGCCCAGAGCAGCCCTGAATTTGGGATGGGGACAGCATCAGCAAGGGGACCCACAGCTCTGCCATGCCCCTGACTATGGCGCCGCTTGGGCTTGGGGTGTCAGAGGAAGCAGCCAGGGTGTAAGAGCAACTCACCTCATGGGGGGTTTGCATATGTAAATTTTTAAAGAGAAAAAATAATTTGCTGTGGTAGCCATGGCATCTGCTGCCCACACACCAGTCTGGGGCTACAGCGCTGTCCCACAGTCCCCCACCAAAGAACATCGGCTCGGGGCCATCAGCCACGGGACATTAGCTGGGGTACAGGGGGCAGGGGACATCAGCTGAGGTCCATCAGCCAGCAGGGAGCACAGCCCTGTCCCTCGGCGGCGGAGGGGCTGCAGGGCGGTGCTGCAGGAAGCCGGTCCCGGGGCAGGAACTTCCTTTTGTGAAACACCCGCAGCCGGCAGCTGGACGAGTGTCGCACAGGCCTCACAGGCAGCAATGGGCCAGCTGTGGCCCCTTCTCATCCCAGCACACTCTCACTGGCCCCTCATATTGCTGAGGCAAGCCTGGAACAGCCAGGAGCACCCCAACTCTGGGAGTGACCTGTACGTGGCACTGAAGTTGACAGGTGCCCCAGCCCAGCCCAGCAGTCCCCAGCCTCAGCACACCCCCCCACTGCAGCAGCCCCTGCACCCCGATACAGCCTTCGCTTGGGGAAGAACCTGCTCTGCTCCCAGCCCCAACATTTAATTGAAATCTACAGAAATTACAGGACAAGTGGCTCCCCTACCTGCCACAGCTGCCCTGTGGTTCCAACAGCCCTGCTGAGAGCTGGCAGGGCAGTGCAGAGCCCTGTCCCCTCCCACGGTGACAAATGGGGAGACAATGACCCCCCTCCCAGGTGCTGGGGCAGAGCTGGGCACCTTCAGAGTCTCAGCTTGAAGGTGCAGCACCGCATCGGTGAGCAGGGAGGGGACTGCTGCGTTTTAGCAGTGGCTCACAGGTAGTTGTCCTCTTCCTCCTCCTCCTCCTCTTCCTCATCCCGTGCCAGCGCCTCGATGTCGTGGGTGATGTCCGTGATCATGCGGTTGAAGGACTCGGACTCGGAGCGCAGGGACCAGCTGTCGTAGCTGCGCACGGCCGAGGCCGACGTGTTGCTCATGCTGCGCTTGATGCGGCCAAAGCTGTCGGTGAGGATCCCGCCCTCCCGGATCCCGATGCTCTCCAGGAAGGTCTCAAAGTATCCGATGTCTTGGTCAGGGATGAAGGGCCTCATTCCTGTCGTGGGCACCATAAGCCTCAGGAGGTTGCTGGCAGGGGGCTCATCCCATCCTGTCCCCCGCAAGCACCAGGGTCCTGACACCCTCTGGAGCACACCCAGCACCAGCACCCCACCCCGAGGGCTGCACAGACATCATCAGGGGGACACAGCGTGGCTGCAGACACTCACCCAGGAGGAGGAACTTCCTGCGGTCCCCGTAGAGGCGCAGGAGCTCGGCGCAGTACTCCCGCACCGGCGTGCCCAGCCGGTACTCACGGAGCAGGAGGGCAAACTGCTGGATCTCCTGCGATGACAGCTTGTTGCGCAGCTGCAGTGACACGGGGATGGGTCAGGGTTTGGGACACTGGCAGCACACAGCCCTGTCCCCCCACCTCTTCTCTGGTGCAGGGGGCTCAGACCTGCCTGCTGTCCCCCGCCCCAGCCGCCGGCACTGCTGGCCTGCTGCCCATCCCTGTGCCCATTCCTGTGCCCATCCCTGTGCCCTCACTGTCATCATGTAGTCCTGCAGCTGCTCCAGCCCTGCGCCACTCTGGTCGCTGCCGCTGCAGGCGGTGGCCAGGCTGTGGTGGGAGTGGTGGAAGGAGGGCGAGGAGGTGCCGCTGTAATACGCCTCGAAGGTCTCGTGGGAGCCATTGCTGTGGGAGGATGGGGACCAGTGGGTCCCTGAACCCCTGGGGTGCCCAGCTGCCCTCCATCCACTGCACAGCACCCACCGTGGGACAGGGCTGGGGCACCACTGCAGCTGGGACAGGCAGCCACCCAGAGCACGAGCACCCACCCAAGGGCAAGGGCACCCACCCCAGCCTAGGGGCACCCCCGGGGGGAGCCAGACTCACAAGGAGCTGCAGCAGCTGTAGTCGGCGTCGTAGCCGTACGTCCCATCTGTGCGGCAGCTCTCGCCTGGGGAGGGAGAGGCGAGATCTCACAGTGAGGCCAAACCCCCCATGCAGTGCCCATGCTCCCTGACTCATCAGCCCCACGCTGTGCCCATGAACCCCCACCCATCAGCCCCATGCCACCCCGCTTGGTGTCCCCACTCCTGCCCCCAGCCACTCACTCCTGCTGGAGAGCCAGGGCCGTGTGGGTGTCGAGGTGTAGTGGTACCCGGCACGGTCCACACACTCAATGCTCTGGTCCCCGTAGATGATCTGGAACACCTGGCAGATTAGTGCACAGGACTCCTCACCAGCATCCTGCAGGGTGGAGGAGGAGGTCAGTGAGTGCCGCTGGATGGGGCAGCAGGCAGCGGGTGGCGTGTGGCACACACCGGGGCCGCTCACCCTGTTGGGCACGGCGAGGATGACGAGGTTGGAGTAGGCGTCGGGGCAGGGCTCCTGGGGGTCCAGGGGGTTGCCGCCGGGGTGCCGCCGCTCCCAGCTGCCGAAGCCGGTGCCGCGCTCCCAGCTGCCGCCGGCGGTGCCGGCCCGCCGCCGCTCCCAGCTGCCGCCGCACGGCTGCCTTCGCTCCCAGCTGCCCGAGGGCCGCCCGCGCTGCCGCCGCTCCCAGCTGCCGCCCCGCCGCCGCTCCAGGCTGCCGCCCTGCCGGGCCTCCTGCCCGCCCCGCGCCGCCCGCCAGTCCAGGCTGCAGATGGTGTGCCGCCTCTCCATCGCGCCCCCCAACCGACCCCCCTCCGGCCACGAGCCCCCCGGGCGCTTTTCGGGGGGAAAAGCCTCCGGCACGCTGGCCGGGGCCGCCTCAGGGTGCGCTCCGGCAGGGACCGGGTCCACTCCCAGGCCTGGGGCAGTGGGGAGAGACAGAGGGGTGTGGAGGTGTGTCACGGCAGGGGGGCTGCGCTGCCCACCCTGCCTGGCCCCCAGCCCCTGCTCTGGCACCACTGTCCCACCAGCCCAGTGAGGTGCAGAGGGAGTTGTGAGAGTCCCAGTGGGTTGTGGGGGCAGCAGGCAGGGGATTAGGGGCCACTCCTCAGCTGGAGCACAGCCCCCACCCCGGGGACCCTTCTCCCAGCTAGCAGCTGAGCTGGGGTTTGCGGATCACAGAGCCCGAGCCCCTGTTCGTGTGTGATGGGATGGGATGGGGGGCAACCCCAGCCCTCTGCTCCTGCCGTTAAAGCAAACAGAGGTGGCAGCACAGCTGGGACCGGTCTCCAGGGGAGTCCCAGGCAGTGCCCCCTCCAGCCTCGGGAAGTGAACACCCCCTCCGAGCGGGGGGACACGCTGGATTTTGTGCTCAGCCCGTGCTGCTGCCCTGGATAGAACCCAACCCCCATCACCCCCCAGGGTCCAGCCTCCCATGCTCTGGGTACACCAGGCACTCGGGGCCGTGGGCAGTGACCCCCGGCCCGTGACCCCGCACCGGTTTTGAGGATGAGGAGGTGCAGGGCGTCGTCTCGCAGGTAAGAGGCTGCGGCGATCTCGTGGGTGGGGATGCGCAGGATCAGCTCCTCGTTGTCGCGCCAGGTGAGCAGGAGGCAGCGCGCAGAGAGGCTGAGAATGCTGTCCTGCTCCGGGGTCGTCTGCAGAGGCAGCTCCTTCAGCTGCTGCAGGGGCAGAGTGCGGGGGGGGCGTGGGGCACCTGGCAGTGTCAGACACCCGGCGCCCACCCTCTGGGCAGCACTGGGGGCACCCTGGGGAATGGTGACCCCCCTTACCCTGGCCGTGTCCAGCAGCTGCAGCACCTCATCCCGGCTGGAGGGGTTCAGGGAGGATGTCACCCATGTCAGGTGGCCTAAAAACTGGGGGGAACAAAATCCAGGGCAGCCTGGGGAGCCCTGGGGATGCACCTTTCCCCCTGCCTCCACCCCTAGCCACCTCCCCAAGGGCAGGACACATCTCCCTGGGGGGCAGGGAGATCTTGCAGTGGGGGGTCCTTCCTGCACCCCCAGCCCACCCTCCCTGGCTGTTTGCCTGGGGTGGCCTCATGTCCCCACCCCAAGCAGGCAGTGACCCCAGGCATCTCTGGGGCACCCCTTACCTTCACCTCCTTCTCCACGTAGTCGTGCAGCAGGATCTGGGGGTCGATCAGGTAGTCGGGGGGATAGAGGGGCACGGAGTGCAGCGGGCGCCGGTAGACGCTGCTGCGGAGCGCTGCCCTCCGCGCAGCCTTCGGGAACACCAGCCGCTTGATGGGCGACACAAAGCCCTGGCGGGGGAACGGGCACAGGGAGGAGTCAGCACCGGGCACCCAACCCTGGCACCCACACACAGGGTCGGTGGCACCCAGCACCTGGGGACGGGCTGGGCACCTCCCTGCTCGCTGACCCCAGGTTTGCATTATTTGTGTGGTTTGGGGGGCTGTGAGTGGGGACCTCACTCCTCCCTGCTGCGCTGTGGGAGGGGTGCAGGGCCTTTCAAACCCGTGCATCTCCGCCCGCTCCCACCCTCCCGGCAGTCCCCCGGGTCACCAGCCCCCAGCCCCACGCACCTTCTTTCCCTTCTTGGCCTCGCAGTCCATGGCTGGACGCGGAGCTGCGGCCGCCCCCACCGCCCCGCTCGGCGCCGCGGTGCTTTCCTGTGTCGGAAACTCCACCAGGATGGCTGGGATGTGAGTTCCTGCCTCTCCTGGGGGGTGCTGGGACTGGGCTGGGCTGGGCCGGCCTGGGCTGGGCTGACACTGGGACCGGGTCAGGACTGAGCCTGGGAATGGGACTGGGACTTGGGCAGAAACAGGGGGTGAAGTCAGCTGGGATGGGACCGGAGCAGGCACTGGGACCAGAGCAGGTGGTGGGGGTGCCCTCGGGACCCTGTTACAGAGCAGTCCCTGCCCCTCACTGCCGCAGGGCTCCTGCCTGGGCCTGGGGCTGATTCTGCTTCCCCATGGAGTCTGAGCCCCCTGTGGGTCTGGGGATCGGCTGGGGATCAGGGGCTCTGTCAGGGAGGAGGTTGGCCCAGCAGTGGCCATGTCCAGCAGCTTCCTCCCCAGGAAGCTGCATCCTGCTCATATCCCCCTTCCCTCCTGGCTGCCACACCAGGACCACTGACACTGAGCAGGCAGCACCACCACAGCCACTCTGCTCTGCTCCTGGAGTCCCTGAGCACCCCATGACAGGGAGGCACCATCCTGCCCCGCTTCAGACCCCACCCGTGAGCCGGAGGTGCCAGCAAGGACGGGATCCCACAGGCAGGGCTTATTGAAATGAATTTAATATCTCATGTTGCAGCAAAATTAAAAATATACAAAAAGTTTGTGGTATACAAAAAAGTCTCGGGACGGACCCCGGCCTCCCGCTCACCCCCGCCCGTGCCGAGGGTCCCAGAGAAGAAGGTGGCACACAGAGTATTTACAGTACATGACAGCAGCCGCCGGGTCCCAGCGCCCGGGGGGGGGGAAGGTGGGCAGGGATGTGGCTGAGACCCCGCGGCAGCCCCTGCCAGAACGAACTTCCCTCACTCCCTGAAGCCGGAGCAGCCCTGGAGCTGTGCCCCTCCTGTAGCTGCTTGGCCCCCAGACGTGCCCCCTTGCTGCGGTCCTGGTGGGCTGGTGCTGCCATCCTGGGCAGCGGGGCGCTGGGTTTGGCTGCCCCTGTGGCACAGGCTGGGTGGGAAGCAAGGGGGCATCCTGGCTGAGCCCCAGGGCAGCAGCGGGACCCAGGGGCTCCCCCAAGCCCCAGGCATGGCCAGAATGCCCTGTCCAGAGCAGCCCAGGGCTGAGGGTACCGTGGCTTGAGTGCATAGAAAAGTGTCCCTCTGTCCCACCGGCGCGGCCCTGGGGTCCCCACACAAACCCCGGGGTGAAGGGCATGGGGGGTGCAGGTCACCCTGAACGGTGTCTCTGTCCTGCAGGGGACAGGGAGAGGGGCTGGGGTAGGGGGAGCCCAGAAGAGCTTCCCCATGCTGGCTCCCAGTCCCCATGTGGCTCGTCCCCATCTCTGGTGGAGTGGGACCCAGCAAGGAGCTGTCACCTTCTGGGCACTGCACAGGGGCTGCAGCAATGCTGCTCAACACCCACAGGGATGAGCCCCTGGCCCCCCTGACCGCTGCCCCCCACCTTCCCTGAGGAAAAGAGACCCCCCCCTCCAGAGCCACCCCATGCCTGGGGCTGCCCCAGCATGAACAGCCCCCACTACCAGGATCTGCCCATGATGGTGGTGAAGGAAGGGTACAGGTGCCGGGGGGCCCAGCCCGCTGCCCAGCCCCAGCCATGCTCTGCACCCTCCTCCTAAAGGGTTTCCAAGGTTTCCAGTTAGCACCAGTTAGCACCAGTGACCCCATCGATGGCCAGCCCAGCCGGCTGTCACCCCAGCTACTGAGAAATGGGAAACAAAAGCAACGTGATGCCACCACTACTGCACACACACACCCCCACCCATCATGTCACGGGCCTGGGCACCCACGCCAGCCCTTGGAGACCCCACATCCCAGCCATTCCCAGGTGCAGCTCTCCCATCCCAGCCCTCCTGTCCTCTGGTGCCTCACACAGTGCCCCATGGCACGGAGGGGCTGTCGGTGCTGCCTCTGCTCCCCAGCCCAGGCAGGGCTTGGCACGGTGCCTCGGGGCAGCCAGAGGCCGGGACCCTGCGGGGCTGTTTTGGGGGGCACAGGAGGTGTGGGGAAGGCACAGGGGTCATGGGTGCAGGGGGTGAGGGGCTGGGCCCCTCCCCTGCAAACCCCTGCCAGCCCCTGCACACACACACACACACACACACACACACACACAGAGAGACACACACACCCCACTGAGACAGTCCCGGCCCGGGGCAGGGCACAGGGTACATTCAGCACAGCCCCTCGGTGGGGGCTGACAGATCCGGGCAGGACCAGGGACACATTCAAACCCGGAGCCTGGGGCGCCCCTCTCCTCTGGGGAGGCAGGAGCAGGCAGGGGGAGGCAAGGCGGGGACAGGGAGGAGGCTGGGTGCACACAGGTGAGGCCAGGGGAGGGAGGATCCCAGCTCAGGTTTACACTGGGGAGCTGGAAGGGGCTGATGCCAATGGGGGAGTAAATGCAAAAGCTCCCGGGTGGGAAGTGATGCCAAACCCGAGAGGGGAGAATGGCTGAGGGTGAATCCCACTTTAGGGAACCCAGGGAACGCCAGCGGCCCCACACACACCCCTCAGTGGTGCCAGCCAGGCCCTGCAACCCCCGGCCCCAGCGGAGGTAGAAAATGTCACACAAAACGTCACCATTCAGGTGAAAACAAACCTGATGAGATGAAGAAGTTCCTGTGGGAAGGGTGGGGAGGATGAGGCGCAGCCATCCCAGCCACAGCTCGGATGCCAGCTCAGAACCAGGGGGGCAGGGTTCATGCCCACCCCAGGCCAGGGTTTGTGCCCCACAGGATAGTGGGGACCCTGTGGGGTTGGGGACATGGCTCAACTCTGAGCCGGGGGGACTGAGGATGGAGATGAAGGGGCTCCCCAAGGGTTGGTGCTGCAGGGTGTGGGGGGATTGTGAGACATTGGGAGGGCTGGACAGACCCCAGTTGTCCCTGTCCCAGCTCCCTGCGGGTCACAAGCCCCACGCACACCCCAGTGCAGCCACGTCCCAGCCCCATGGCTCTGCCGTGGCACAGGCACCTGTGTCCCCATGTGCTGCCCACCATGCCCCCCTGTGCCCCACCGTGCCCCCAGCCCAGGGTGCCCCCAGTCCCCACCCTGCACCACTGACACGGGCCACAGCACCCACCGCCTGGGGCTCAGGCACCGGTGAGGTATTTTGGCAAGGACGAGCCCTGGGGGGTGCGGGGGCAGCCGCCATCAGGCGGGACGGGGGTCTGGGCTGCAGGAGGGCGGCACAAGAGGGGCGATAGCACCAAGAGACCTCCCCGGCCACCGCCCGCGGGGCGCTCGGCGCGGCGACACCGGCAGAGCCGGCAAACCCAACGGAAGGCAAATGGGCTGCGGAGACGCAGGGTGGCCGGGGTGCCACCACGGGTCCCGTCACAGCCCCGTGCCCCCGCCATCCTACACGGTGGTCTCGTACTCCAGCAGCTCCTGGGGGGCGCCGGGGGTGCGGTACTGCAGGCGCGGGGTGGTGGGCGACGCGTACTCCAGCGCCAGGATGGTCTTCCGCAGGCGCCGGTCGATGAAGTGGGCGTCCCAGGCCGGGTACTTCTTCCTGGGCAGGTCAATGCGGATGACGGGCCTCTCTGTCCGCGGGGCGCGGGCGGCCGGTGCCGGCGGGGCGCAGGGTCTCACCTGGAAGACGGGCACGCAGCTGTCCCGCTCCCCCGGCGCCCCTTCCCGCTCCCCCCCTGTAGTCCGCGGCAGCGAGCGCGGGGGGCTGGTGACGGCGTCCGTGGGGGACCCTGGCACCGGGGGCGGCGCCTGCCGGAAGATGCAGCCCACGTTGCGGTGGCTGAAGATGGGGCCGTTGGGGTGCAAGAGGCAGTAGTAGATGAACATGAAGAAGATGCCGAGGGCAAAGCTGGAGCTGACCACGCAGACGAGGATTAAGGCGTCGAAGTCGGAGGTGGTCTCGCGGTCGTAGTAGAGGAACCAGAGGATGGTGAGGGCGGCGTTCTCTGACAGCGTGATGATGTAGTAGATGCACATGCGGTAGCGGCTCCGTCCCTCCTTGACGTTGAACCAGCAGAAGATGTAGATGATGCCCACCACCATGTTGTAGATGATCTCCTCCCACTTGGACATGCAGAAATCCGTCTCGCCCTGGATGATCCAGAAGGTCATGATGCACCAGTGGGTGACGATGAAGATGCCGAAGTAGAGCTGGAACACGGAGGCGAAGAGGGCGAAGGCGATGGCGCGGGCGGCGATGGTGAAGAGGTGCCAGAGGATCTGCACCACGGCGCCCTTGTAGGACATGGGCATCTTGTCCTCCCGCGAGTCCCGCAGCACCTTCTGGTAGGACGCGATCATCCAGGCCAGCGAGACCAGCGAAGCCGAGGCTGAGAGCCCTGTGGGGAGCGGCTGTGAGAGCCCGCAGAGGCTGGGGACCCCCTCCCTCTGGCCCCTTCCCCTCCAGGGGGGTGTCCCTTACCCTGCAGCGGCTCGATGCTGTTCTGCTGCACCATGATGCTGAGCTGCAGCACGAGCTGGGGCGCGCTCTTGAGGAAGGCCTCCAGCAGCCTCAGCATGCTGATGTCCGCGCTCTCGAACATCATCCGCCAGTAGAAGTGGCGGCGGCGGTGCTCGGCCTGCCACCGGCTCTGCAGCCCCAGGTACAGCGTGCGGAGGTACCTGCGCGAGGTTGGCAAGGGTGAGACAAGCCCCAGCTGCCCGGGCAGCGGAGCTCACCTTGACCTGGCCGTGCCAGGATTGTTCTCTGTGACTGCTGTTCCCCTGATTTGGGGCCCTGGAAATCCCCCTAGGCCAGGGGTGCCGGAGGCTACAGGGCAGAAGTGATGCTGAGCATGTCTCTGTCCTGCTCTAGGGCTCCAGTTTGTGAAGGGGCAGCTTGTACAAAGCCATCTCAACACTCCTCTGCCCCGGGACATCATCCCACTGCCCACCTGGGGCAGTGCCTACCCAGCCATCACCCCAATCCTTCCTCCCTCGTGCAGGGTCTGGATTCCCCCCAAGCCAGGAAACCCCCTCCCCAGCCCCAGCCACAGATTCGGGTTGCCCTAGCCCAGCACCAACATCCGGCTACTTCTCAAAAGGGATATTTTGGTCCCAGCTGGCATGGAGCCCGCCCTGCTTCCCCCCCGACCCGGCCAGGATGGAGGCACCAGCTGGTTGTGCCGTGCTGCCTGCGGGAAGCTCCCGGCGCTCGTGGCGGCGCTGCCTCGGCTCTTGGCAGGGCTGCGGGCGCGGCCACACACTGGCCCCGGCCATCTGGTGGTCGGCCGGGGGTCAGCGGAGGTGTGCGTGGCACCGACGCACGCCCGGCTGAGTCACCACCACCAGGGACCCTCCCCATGGCACTGGGCCAGATCCGGCACCGCAGGAGGGGACACGGGGCCGGCCAGGTAGGGCATCCCCGGGCAGCCCTGCCCGCCCCACGGCCAGGGCTCTGCTGACGAGGAGGAGGGAGCCTGGTGAGGAGGGGAACAGAAAGGATGTCAGACCATAGATTCCTCCCAATGAGTAAAATCCTCTGGCAGAGCAACGGCTTCTCCATCAGCTCCAGAACGTGCTGCCAGCCGACTCCATCAGCCCAGAGCATGGGAGAAAGCCTGATCCCAGCACTTTCAGCTCATCCGTCAGCAGGAAGAGGCAGGAGCCAGCCCTGCTTCCACTGCAGGGACAGCTGAGTGCTCCCACCCCTGGGCTGCACAGCCCTGAGAGCACAGTGAGGGCCATCAGCTGGGGCCACCGAGCCCCTGTGTCACCCTGCTGCCATCTGCTCTGCCCTGGCCAGCTCCACTCCCAGCCCCTGCTGGCTTCTCTCTTCTCAAAGTGACGCTTTAACCTCCACCTTGAGGGCAGCACCTAATTTTAGCCTTTGCTGCAGCCTGTCCCTCACTGCTCAGGGGAAAGAGGCTGTGGCCACCCTGCTCCTGGCTCCCAGCACAGATCTGCATGCAAGTGCCACCTGCTCACAGCCAGCCAGGCCAGCGCTGCCATTGCACCACCACAGCCACTGCTGGTGGGAGAACAAACCTTGCTGGTGGGGGAACAAACCAGAGGACAGCCCAGAGAGGGAAGGCACGGAGTAGCAGGAAACAACAATAGAAGAAGTGATGTAGAGCCCGGTGTGCTGCAGGGCATCACTGGTGTCCCAGGGCACCCATGCATGAACCAGGCTTGGGTACTGGTGGCCTCATCCTGTCCCTGTAATTAGCCTCGATAACTGGGCTCATCAGAGCCACAATCTCACTGTCTACAGTGCAGAGCATTCCCCACACTTGGACTCCAGAGCTGCCAGCCCTGGCTCCTCCACTGCTCAACAAGTGACCTGCAGCCTCCCCAGCTTTCAGCGAGGGCACAATTATCCTCCTGTCTCCCTGCCAGCTCCATGGGTCTCATTAAAATGAGATTTCATCTCCCATCAACTCGCCCGAATGAAATGTTGATTCTTATTTGTCTTGCATTTGATCATCCCGTGGTGTTTCAGCCCAGAGAATGATCCTGGC